ATATTTGGCTTGCAGTTAAAGAAAGTTTTAAAAAAGTTGCCTAACCTGTTTTTTTGAAGTGCAGAGCCACCTTATTCTTCCTAGTGTGTCAGTGGAATAACATTTTCTGTTTAGCTCATATTATATTTTGAATTATCCTTCAATTCTCTTTTTATCTAGTTTATTAGGTGCTTAATTCACCTTTGCTGATGAAGCAAGCACCTGTAGGAACATGATTTTTGTGAAGAAATTGTTCAGTGTTGATTTATTTCATGAGAGAATTGGATAAGATGTATGATTTTATAGTATCAAGAAATAGTTGTTGTTTTTTTAAGGACTGTCAAAGACGTTTTTTTAAAAGCTAGTTGGCCTTATAAATAAACCAAATGCCAGTGGTATATGTTTATGTGACGGTCAAATTTGTAGTTGGGAATTTTTGTAACTTGCTGTGTGGTTCTTCTTATCATAGCAAACTTATATTATTTTATTTATCAAGCTGACAAGATGTTTTTGAAAGTGAGACATGAATTTGAGAAGTAAGCAAGTGATTGCATCACATATTATTAAAAGAGTTCATTAATAGGAAAATCAGAGGACACTTAAAAAGAAACGAGAGTTCTCAAGACCAGATGGTGATTCTAGAAAAACACATGCAAAGTCAAGGGTTATCTGAGCCTGGATGAACCCAGGACAGTTAGCTGCTATGCCTGGGGAATGAGCAGGCAGTTCTTAGAAGTTACATGACCCTGAGCTACTTAGTTCTGATTAAGAATCACATGCATTAGTTCTGGTTCTGTAATCTTCAAAAACCATTCCAGCACTATAAAAGCTGGACTAAAACACGCAGTAAGGGGGAGAAAGACTTCACCAGCTAGTTGTAATATATGTGGAAGTTTGAGAGGGAAGCACAAACAGCATGTGGTAGATCAGACTACAAGAAAAACAAAAATTGTGGGTAATGAGGAGTGTATTAATCTGGAGTTGTGTAAAATTGATTACCTTAAAATGACATTGAATGATAGAATTGATGTGTACACAGTTATCTGCAATCATTTCAAGGTTGTATTGAACTCTTCCACAATGATGGACAGAGAAATAAAGGAAGACGCTACCAAATTAGCTGCACATTCTCCACAAGATCTAGATAAATAAGTATATCCTCAAGAAATGATTCAGTTTGTACAGTTTGTCAAAGGAAGAGGTTGTCACACACCATGATCACAAGCTAAGCTTTTGT